AAAAAAAAAAAAAGACCATATGTTTGAGATTTGTTTCTGTAGATAATATTTTTCTAAAGCTCTTTGATGGTATGTATTGGTAGAAATGATTAGGAAGATTGTTAACTTGTCATAAGCAAAATCTTGAACTTTACATTTACTGTGTAAATTGTCATTGAACTATATCAGCTGTTTATCTTGGAGGATGTGGTTCAGCAACACTCCCACATTTGCTCTTTTTTTTTTCCTTGTACCAGGGATTGAACACGGGCCCTTGCGCTTACAAGGCAGGCACTGGAACCACTGAGCTAAATCCCTGGCCCTCCCACATTTATTCTTATTTAAAATCCCTTTGCTAAAATTAATTTATCGTCCACAATATTTAGATTTCTTATGAACCACACATTTGGAGAAAACCAGAGAATGGCATTAATAACTTTTGCCTCTTTTGCTTAAATAATAGAAGAATTCTGAACATTATGATTTGGGAGATTTTAAAATATTTCAACTCAATATCTAAAAATGAAATGAGAAAAATCCCAAGTTTCACTGTTATCATCTGAGAGTAGATAAAGTAAGCATTGTACTGACTCATATTTCTTTTGTTCTGCTCTGATTTAATATAAAGAGTCACCAGAATGCATCCCTCTGTAAGGAGCCTCGGGTGTAGACTCAGGACCCCTGGCTGTAGTGGCCAGTAGTCCTCCGAGCAGTGCAAGGAAGCTCCCTGCTCCTCAAGATACCGTGCGGCTCCTTAGGGCTGAAACAAGACGCTCTTCTCTTTCAGCTCTTGGTCCGTGCTGGTGCCAAGCTGGATATCCAGGATAAGGATGGAGACACCCCGCTGCATGAAGCTCTGAGGCATCACACTTTGTCCCAGCTGCGTCAGCTGCAAGACATGCAGGATGTGGGGAAGGTAGACGCTGCCTGGGAGCCATCGAAGAACACGGTAAGTAGAGCTGAGCTTTCAGGCAGTACCAGCAGAGCATCCTTTAAGGCAAAATTTTGTATTTACTGCTCACCTGATCAGTGTCGGGTTGAGAAGGACAGTGATAATTGAAAAGTGATGATATTGATACATCCAGCCTCCCTCTTTTTGTGTAGGATTGCTCTGACTATTCCTGGGTCTTTTGTTTTCATAGGCGTTCTACAGTCTTTTCCTCCTACGTTGGTGAAGATTGTCATTGCTGTTTTGATAGGGACTGCGTGGAGTCCGTAGATCACTTGTTAATGTGGCTGTTTTGACAATATTAATTTTGCCAGTCCCTGAACATGGAAAGTCTTCGTTTTTTGAAGTGTATTTTAGTTTCTTTCTTCAGTGTTCTGCAGTTTTCATTGTAGAGGTCTTTCACCTCCTTGGTTAGATTGATCACTCTGTATTTTAAGTCTTGGAAGCTGTTGTGAATGAAATTGTTTCCTGATTTCTTTCTCAGCTAGTTCATTATTGGTCTGTAGACAGCCATTGATTTTAAAAGTCTTCTGTGGGCGGAGATTTAGCTAAGTGGTGCTGCACCTACCTGGCAAGCACAAGGCCCTCAGTTCGATTCCCAGTACTGGGGGAAAAGAGGAAAGGTCTTTTGATAGAGTCTTTAGGGTCTTCTGAGTTTGAGATCATGTAATCTGTAAACAAGGATTATTTGACCTCCCCCTTTCCTATTTGTATCCCTTTTATTTCTTTCTCTCTCCTAATCACTGGAGCTAAGATTTTAAGAACCATATTAAGTAGGAGAAGTGCTGAGACTGGGCCTCCTTGCCTTGTCCCTGACTGTAGAGGAAGAGCTTTGCATTTTCCCTGTTCAGAATGATGCTGGCCGTGGTTTGCCATATGGGACCTTTATTGTACTGGGCAGTGACCCATCAGTACCTGGTTTCTTCAGAGCTTTCTGCATGAAATAATTTTGAATTTCGTCAAAGGCTTTTTCTGCACCAGTTGAGATGAATGTGTGATTTTTTTTTTTAGTGTAATTCTACTTATGTGGTATATTGTGTTTATTGATTTACATATGTTGAACCATCCTTTCATCCCTGGGATGGAACCAGTTTGATCATGGTGTATGATCTTTTCAAATGTGTTGTTAAATTCAATTTTCAAGTGTTCTCTTCAGTATTTTTGCATGTATGTTCATTGAGGATGTGAGTCTATAATAGTTTTCCTCTTTTTTGGGAGGAGGGCGGGGTCCTTGCCTGGTTTTTCTATCATGGAAAGTGTGTGTGTGTCACTGGCGACTGAACCAAGAGCCTTAGCCCTTTAAACAGTTTTTTGGAAACAGAGTCTTGCAAAATTGTGCAGGGTGGACTTGAATTTGATGATTCTTGTTCCTCTTCTTCCCACAATTTCGGGATTCCCGGCGTGTGCCATCATGCTCAGCTGAGAGTTCTTTATGTAACCAGAGTACAAATTCCTTATAAGGTGTGTGGCACGAGCATATTTTCTTAGTCTGTGATTTCTCGTGTTTTTCTTTTCACTTTTCTGTCACAGTAATTGGTAAAATGCTATGTTAATTTATTTGGTGTAGAAATGATAGCTTAGTCAGCGGTGCTCCAGAGTGCTTTTCGAGAACTAGGTGTGTAATTAGAGGTGCTGTAGTATTGGCACGGGGAGTCCTTGTCCTCTCAGTGGTGTGGATGCATGGCTGCTTGTGATGCATCCACAGAGGTCTCCATGTAGGGGGCAATCCATGCTGAATGCTTCATCCTTTCTGCCTTCTCTGTAAATGTGGACTTCAAGGTAATCATTGAGTCCAGGTTTCCCCAAGGTGCTTCTTGGTCTAAATGGATCTAGATGTACTATGTCGGGACCACTTCCGGTGGTGGCCTTGTTCCATGTTCCCAGGTGGCAGGAGGCGGGAAGCATGCATGCTCACCTCAGCTTTTCTGTCCTTTAACAGTGTTTTCTTTTTTGAGATGGAGTCAAAAAAGCCTGGGCTGGGCTCAAACTCTCAGTCCTCCTGCTTCAGCCTCCCAGGTCACAAGGATTAGCGGCATCTGCCATCAAGCCCCTTTTTTCTTTTCTTTTTGGTACCAGGGATCAAACTCGGGTCCTTGTGCTTGTGAGGCAGGCGGCGGAACCACTGAGCTAAATTCCTAGCCCGCCAAGAACATCTTTAAGCAGTGCTTTTGGAAGAACAGAAGTTCTTAATTTTGATAATGTCTGACTTTAATTAGTTTTTTCTTTTGTTTGTGCTTTTTGTTTCTTGACAAATCTGCCAAACCTGAGATAACTAAGGTTTACTCTTCTTTTGTACTAGAAGTTACTTTTGGGTCTGTGGTTCATTTTGAGTTAGCTTTTACATATTATGTGATACATGAATCAAAATTCATTCTCTTATTTGTGGATGTTCCATTGTTTCTCCACCCTTTGTTGGAAAGACTGTCTTTTTCTGCCGAGTTACCTGTGTAGCTTTATCCAAGATCAGTTTACTCTACACCTGGAGGTTTCTTTCTGATCTTGTCATTTTTCTCCTTTGGTCTTATGTGGTTAGCTCTGCGATGCCAGCCCAGTTATCTTGATTACCACAGCTTTATAGTAAAAGTTGAATTTGGGTAGTGAAGTGCTCCAATTTTCTTCTTTTCATATTTCCATTTCCATTTGGAATCATTTTTAAGAGTGTCAAGTGGTTCTGAGACCAGAATGTTTTTTAATTGCTGTCTTATAGTGTGAATGTGGGTATATTCTCTTAACTCCTTTGTGCCTCTTTTCTTCTTATATTAAAATGGAGGAGGGGGACTACCTGCCTACATAAAGTCATTGTAAAAATCATGGAACGTACTTAAAATAGTACTTTGTCCATTGCAGATAATAAATCTTTTGGTTTTGTTTTGTTTCTGGTACTGGAGATCGAACTCAGAACCTTGCACTTGCAAGGCAGGTGCTGTGCCACTGAGCTAAATCCCTGGCCCCAGATAATAAACCTTGACAGTTATTGTGACTATTTTCAGATAAGATGTTTGAATTGGGAATCAGATGGTATTTTCAGAACCTCATTTGTTTCACTCCATTTTTTTGCTCAGTTTATAGGTATTGGTTCTTTTCTCAGTTGTCTTTTCCTTTCATTGTTTCGAGTTAAATGCCAGGAGATGCAGAGCCAAACTGAGTAGAAAAGAGTACTCTTTGTTTAACGCCATGGCAGAGCCAGGCAGAGCCACCGCTGGCCCATCCACCTCTAGGGCTGGAGAGCGAGTCAGTTCTCACACTGCAAGCCGAGAAATTGAGGGAAGGGCCAGGAGGAGTGTGTGAGAGCGAAACTCAAATGCCCACCACGCACATGTACATAGAATTGAATGTTGTGGAGAGGGAGTAGTGATAGCAGATTCCCACAGGGAAAAGCCTGACTCTCTGTTTGGTTTCAGTTGATAATGGGACTTGGAACCCAGGGGGCAGAGAAGAAGAGCGCGGCATCCATTGCCTGTTTCTTGGCAGCCAACGGAGCTGACCTTGGCATTCGGAATAAGAAGGGTCAGTCACCACTCGATCTCTGTCCCGATCCAAGTCTCTGCAAAGCACTGGCAAAGTGTCACAAGGAGAAAGTCAGGTTTGTATTATTTATTATCATGGAGATTAATATTCTGTGCGCAGAGTATCACGTGGTTGCGTAACGGAGGAGTTGACCACCTGAAAATCTTTGCCTTTGGAGTTCCTGTGTTTGTTTTTGTAGCCCAGGCTGGCCTTGAACTCATCACAGTCCTCCTACCCCAGCCTCCCAAGCACTGGGATGACAGGTGCTCACCCCTGCCCTGCTTAGTTCTTGTAGCTTTGTGCTGGCTTTTTTTCTTCCTTGAAAAGTTCTCTCCAGGCAGCTTGTCTGGCACGTCCTGTTGTGTAGCCCTCATCAGTAAGTACACTTTTTTATGCATTGTGAGTCCCAGAAACGTTCTAGCCTTGTCTCGCCCTGTGGGAATCCTGTGCCAGAAGGGCTTCTCTGTATGGAAGGTTCTGCTAGTAAAGTTACTGTGATGAATGCTACGCATGGGAGAGTCTTGCTAAGAGCGGCAGTTACACCCTGTGAACAGGGTGTGTCTTACACAAACTGTAACAGTTCTAGCATCTCACATAGATAGAGCCTGGCAGCCACTCAAGAAGTATCGGTAAAGGATTGAAAGAATGAGTGAGTCTGTGCAGTGAGGAGTTTTTTCTAAAGATGATCATTCACATTTCTCTTTTCCTGAATGTGAAATATCAATGATTTTATTATTTATGACATAAATAATTTTCTTATAGTGAGACATACAGAAAAGGTCCACACGTCTACTTTTTTATCTGCAAAGCACCGCACAACTATTACTGTCTTTTAGACCAGTTTCTTACACAGAATGTGTCAGTAGCTGGCCTCTGACATATGTGTTCTGTCTCCCCTCTGATGACACATGTACTGATGACATGGTAGCTCTTTGAGATCCACAGCTGTGTTGTAGTGAGAGTAGTGTCTAAGGTACATATACTTCTTTAAACCTGTCCCTAGGAGCAAAAAGTCCTATTGCAGAAATAATAGATTCACAGTAACGCCACTACATAACTACTGCCATTGCAGCAGTGGAGTTTAAGATGGGACCTCTATTTGTGCGTATATATGAGTTTCTGAAGCTTGTGGTAGAAACAAGAGTGTTCCTAAGCCAGGCATGGTGGGCCACACCTGTAATCCCAGCACTAGGGAGGCTGAGGCAGGAGGATTGCCCTGAGTTCGAGACCAGCCTGGGCTACATAGTGAGCTCAGGGACAGCCTGAACTACAGAGCAAGACCCTGTCTCAAAAAAAGAAAAAAAAGTGTTCCTTTTCTTCAGCTGTCATTACCATATATATGTATATATACATACTTCTGTGCACTATATTCCTGTATTTTGTATGCATTTTGTCTCTCTGTAGTACGCGTTCTTTAAGGATGTATGCAGTGACATGTCCAGACATTTTCCAAAGTGCCCTGTCTGTTGTGTTTTGTCTTTGGTTAGTGTAACTCACATGGTTGCTGGTTGGGATTTTGTTTTATTCCTCTCCCTTCTTCGGCATAGGCACATTCAGTATAAATGCGTGGTGTAGATGTGTAAGATGTGGGGGAGGGAGGTGCTGCTTGAGAACCGTACACACAGAAAGTGCTCTGCATGGCTGAACGAGCCTGCAGCTGGAGGCAGCACCCACTGGAGGGCCCCTCTGGCTCGGGAGCTGCTCCTGTTCGCAGGAGACCTTTCCTACTCTCCGGAGTTAAATTTTGTTTATGTTAAATTATTTTTTACTGTTTTTTCACTTCTTTGTTAGGAGATTCACCCTTTTCCACTGAGTGAGGATGACTGAGTTTGAAGTTTGAATGGAACTAGATGTAAAGATAGACGCAGATATGAATGAAAAAATGTAATTTACCGGGTTTCATGTAAAGATGGTAACACTTAATTTTTAAAAATAACTAGAATTGTTGTATGTGTAGTAATTCTCTCGATGTCTTTTAACTAATGAATTTGTTACAGAAGTGTTTTGGCAGACTTGATTGGAAATATTTTTTCTTCCTAGTGGTCAGGTGGGTTCTCGGAGTCCTTCTATGATTAGCAATGATTCTGAAACCCTAGAAGAGTGTATGGTGTGCTCAGATATGAAGAGAGACACGCTTTTTGGCCCATGTGGACACATTGCAACCTGTTCTTTGTGTTCTCCACGAGTCAAGAAATGCCTCATCTGTAAAGAACAAGTCCAGTCTAGGACAAAGGTAATAAATACGTTTTTATGTGGTGTTTTATGAAGTTCTTTGAGGCTATAACTGTAAGACTATATGGCATCATTTAATTTTGTTGTTCCAAATAATGGTTTTTAAACATAGGCATATATAATTATATATTTATTAAGCAGTCAGTTTGGAATTTCATAACTTCATTACTAGTTTACTCTTATTGGTGTGATTATCTTCCTAAGTTCATTGTTACCTGAATTTAATAATGTTTTTAACATTCAGAAAACTTTACCTGTTTCTTTCTTTATATTTCCATATGCAAGTTGTCTTTATTCTTTCAAAGCTCTCTATAGCCTTTAGATATATTTTAATTTTACTTTGTTTTGTGTGAAGTCTCCAAACCTGTAAAATGCAGAAACTGACATGCTCATCCAACAGATTTGCTCTGTTGAGTGCAGAGCCTTGGTTGTAAAGAAATAGCGACCCCAAGTGGTTAAGAGGTAATGAGCACCCTCACTGAAGGGAAATAAACTGTAAGACTATTGTGTAAGCCAGAGCTGTTAACATACACACGTGTAATTTCAGCACTCTGGAGACTGAGGTAGGAGGGTCACAAGTTCGAGGCCAGCCTGGGTTATATATTCTGTCTCAAAAAACCAAAACCCCCGAGTAGTATTTGGAGGGAATATAAGCTTGTATTCTTTAGTAATTAGAGCAATACAAATAATATTGCCGGGCGTGGTGGCGCACGCCTGTAATCCCAGCAGTTGGGAGGCTGAGGCAGGAGGATCGCTGTGAGTTCGAGACCAGCCTGGGCTGGAAGAGTTATAGTAACTGGTTTTTCTTTTAATAGGAGAATGGGCAAATTGTTAGATCGGTTTGCTGTATTATGAGTAGTTTGTTAACTGGAGGTAGAGGTAGAATCCAGAAGTATCGGGGTCCTGACCTGCCGTGTTTATGCATTCTGCTGTGATAACTGTGAATCCTGTGTAGATGCGGGCATGTAAGTTGGGAGAGCCCTCGAGCAGGAATGCACGCGGTGCTTGGTTCTGTAGGTGATGTCAGAGGTGAGTGCTGGCCGTTGTTTGGGACAGTAATATTAAATGGCATAAATGAAGAAGCCAGGTGTGACGCTGCACACCTCTATTCCCAGCACTCAGGAGACTGAGTCAGGAGGGTCGCTGCAAGCCTGGACTGCATAGTTCAAGGCCAGCCTGAACTATAGTCTCAAAAACAAAAACAAAAAAGACAGCGATGTGACTGTGTTAGAGGGAGCACGGGCAAATGACAGATGTGAAGCCAGGGGCAGTGGCATGGGGCAGGGTGAAAAGGAGACCAGAGCCAAGGATTTCTTAGCTATACACAAAACCAGTGACATCGAAGAGGGCAGGAACTTACGGCATCAGAGATCAGAGAGAAAGGAGAGGCTACGGTGTTGGGCCCCAGCCAGCATGGGGGTCGGCCGTGTTCTGGAAAAGGTGCTTTTATCAGTCAGAGTTCCTCAGCTGGAGGTAACAGAAAAATTCCCCTTGGGCTTAGTAAGCTGACTCATCTGGCTAGAGTTTTATTAATGTTGTAAATCCACCTTCTCTTTGCCATTTGTATGTTTCTTTATTCACTATCCTTTTAGTTCCCTTTCCAAAGTCATTTGAAAAAAAGGAAAAGGAAAATTGAAGTGTAGCCCTGCCTCGCCGATCTCCGAGGAAGTGGAGTTTTCTGTCCGTTCTTTAGGATGGTAGGAGACTAATGCAGCCTTAGTCTCGCTGAGTGAGGGTACACAAAGGTGTGAAAATGCAGAACCACGAGCGTAGAGGCTCGCTGCGCGGTGAGGACAGGCACTGGGGTGAGGAAGGCGCTGTGGGCCCTCGGCTTCCCTGCGGTACTCACTGTGCTTTCCTCTCGTGGCCGCAGATCGAAGAATGCGTGGTGTGCTCTGACAAGAAGGCAGCTGTTCTTTTTCAGCCCTGTGGACACATGTGTGCTTGTGAGAGTAAGTTGTCTTCATGAAACTTCCTCTGTGTGATTATGAAATGTAAAGTAGAGCCAGACTTACGCATTTGAGGGTTTTTGGTGTCTTATTGTCTTCTGGATAACCCGCAGACAACACCGAAAGGCCTTCCTCCCTTCCTCCGTGACAGTGCCAGCTGGTTCCTTCCCTGCTCCTGAGCCCTGGGGAAGACCGCGCATGCTGTGTTCTTACATTTTCATTTCAATTGTATTATTGGCACAGATGATCTCTTTTCACACACGCTAGAAATGTATTTCCAAAGGGAGTGTTGGAAAATGCATTGTATCTCTTTCTGATGTACAGTTAGTACATCTTCCTTGGTTTTCATTGAATACTGCTTATCTGTGTACTTCTCCCATTCCCAAACAACTCCCAGCACCTTTTGGAGCTGTGATTTCTGGCTTTCCAGTAACTGTATGTCAAGGAGATTTATAAACTCTCCTTTGTGAGGACAGTATTGAAGTTCAAGAAATGTTTAAAAAATTTTTTTAACCAGATTCTCTTGGAACCCTTTGCTTGTATATCCCCTTTATCATTTTCACTTTCTCACATTGTTTGATAGCCTCCTCTTCCCTTTGCCTTTTTCATTTAAATCAGTGAACGATATTAAACAAATTTAACAGCTTACACCTTATATAAATGGGCCCACGGTAGCTATAGTATTTCATGTTATAAAATAGTTCAGTTATCTGGCTAGAATAATATACAGAGTGGGTGATAGTGTCATCGCATTGGCATAGATTTTCTTAAACCCTGATATTTTGTTTTCGTTTTTCCCTCCGTTCTGATAGATGATTATGTAATGAAAGAGCCAAGGTTTTTGACTGTGACAGTTCTCTTCAAGTAACTGGTTCTGTTTACCGGAGACCAGTACCACGTCACAGGGGCATGTCGAAAAGAGCTCTGTCTTAAGTATAAACAGCTCAGTTGAGTTAGGTTTTCGTAGACCAGAGCTTGGCAGACTTTCTACAGAGGGTCAAGTAGTAAATATTTCAGGTTTGTAGGCCACTTGGCTTCTGTAGTAACCACTGATCTCTTTCCAGGTACTCACTCCACTCTGACATTGTAATGCAGAAACAAGGAAAATGCTTTATTTACAAAAACAGGCAAAGGTCACATTTGCTGATCCATACCATAGACCAGCGATGGAGAACCTTTTAGAGCTTTCAGTGATACAAACAGTCTGCCGTGGCCCGTGTACCGCTGGTTCACTACCACTGCCGTAGACTGACGTGATACCCGAGTCTTGAAAGAGGATTGTAATTATTCATTCATAACACATATTCTTGAGCCTTGATGTACATTTTCCTCAAGAACGTCCAAAATTTTTAGGTTTTGATTTAAAATGCAATGAGCAATGACTTTTATTGAGCTTTAACTCTGTACTAAACATTTTAATCTCTTGTAGTATATTTCCTTACTTTTTTTCAGAACAATCCTAAGAAGCAAATGATTTTCTACATTTTATAAACACGTTCTTAAACACTTACTTGGGAAGATGAAGTTGAGGTAGAAGATATCCCTTTCCCCCAAAGTACAGCAAAGTTATTTAATCCCGCGCCACGTGACGGTAGTGTTGAGTGTTGGAGCCTTGAAGAACACAATGTCGCAGGGCAAAGGAAGGAAGGGTGGAGCCGAAAGGGCTGAAGAAAGTTCCTGTAAAACAATAAATAGGTGAACTTCAAAGAGTCTCAGGGCTTATAATTGTGGTTATATAGTATGTGTTGAGCCCATCCTCAGTTTAAGGCAAGACTGTGCCCCCAACTTGAAGACAAATCCCAAATCCGACCTCTGCTGTCATTAACTTCTCCTACTGCACCTTGGCGTCGTGCATAGCCAAGCATCTCGGCCCTTTCCATTCTGGCTCTGGGCCCCTTTGGAAATGATTCTCACCCCAGTGCAGCTGCTGGTGTGGCCCACCCTGTCCACATCAGTGTTTTGGAGCCTCGTTAAGGTCGTCTGTGGTAGCCTGCCACGTTCTCAGGACTTCTTCTCATATTAAAATGAACAGCAGAGGGAAAGACTCTTGGTACAGGCTAAGATACGGAGAATATTTTCAGATCAGTGCTAATGCCAAAGGACGTATTGAGTGTTATTTTGTAATCCAGTTTATATGTAAGGTAATAGGAACAGTTTATAAGCTAGAGCTGCGGCTAGTTATTTGGGGTGGGGGATGAGAAGGCATCCTACTGAAATACAGCTTATACCCTTTTCAGAGCAGTTATTACAAAGATAGTCTGTCATGAATAAAAGGTCGATACTTTCCTGAACCACTACATTAAAAAGTCGCCAAGTACCTTTCTTGTTATACTGCAGCCCTTTGATAGAAGGAAGGGAACGTCTTGAGTGTGTTAGAAAACATCGCCTTTTCATCGTAGGCTCGGTGGTCCCGAGGCCCCCATCGGAGAAGGTTGTGTTAGGTTGGCGGCACTGCAGCCTGGTGGAATTGGGGGCTGGCGCGGCGTGTTTAATGTGTATTCCAGCCTGAAGGCTGAGCCGTAGAACCTGGCAGAAAAACGCGACCCTCTGAGTGAGGTCCCTGCGTCTGAGAAATCTCTGCCGCTCGCAGACTGCGCCAGCCTGATGAAGAAGTGCGTGCAGTGCCGGGCCGTGGTGGAGCGGCGGGGGGCCTTCGTGCTGTGCTGCGGTGGGAAGAGCGCCGAGGACGCCGGCGATGAGCTCTGTGAGTTGCTGCTGCTCCAGCGCTTTCTGGTTTTGCCTTCTGGTTGCGACTTGCATGAAAGTAACTTCATTTGCACTACTATACTGTTGCTGTGTAAAGAAATGTGTACAGTTGGACTGACAGAAATAATTGTGGTTTTCTAGCACTTGTGTCACAGTATAAGAACCCGAAACTATATTTTTCTAGTTTGTGGTACGATTGCAGAACTTTGAAAATACTGTAGGGCTTTTGTTTATTTTTTGTTTTGGTTCTAGGGATTGAACCAGGGATACATGCTAAGCAAATGCTCTACTGCTGGGCTACATCCCCAGCTCTTGTACAAAAAACTTAATTCAAGACAAAGTCTCCCTCGGATGCCCAGTTTGGTCTCCAGTTTGTGATCCTCTTGCCATGACCTCCTGAGTAGCTGGGGTTGCAGGCAACTTTCATATGTGTGCGAGTGCAGGTGCGGTGCGTGTATGGATCGGATCAGGGGCCTCGTGCATGCTAAGCACATGTTACACCACTGAGCTTCACCCTGGCCCGATTTAGGGTAGCTTGAGGAGGGACATCATCTTACAAATTATTTTTTCAATTTACCAAAGTAATAACCTGGCTCCTTTTTATAGTGGGTTTGCAGGTTCATTTAGGTTTCATAAAGCATTCATACTTTATGGAATAGTAATTATTTGTGTCAGAGTAGGTAAGTTGAATTGTAACAGTGAACAGTGGAAGAATGAACAGTAATATGTTTATCTTCACCGTAGTCTTTACTTTTAGTTTTAATTTTTTTTGCAGAGCTAGGGATTGAACCTAGGTCCTTGCTTATGCTAGGTGAGTGCTCTTCTGTTCAGATATACCCCTGATCCTCACCTTCCCTTTTTATTTTTTTTAAGACTGTTTTTTTTGGGAGGGTACCGGGGATCGAACTTGGGACCTTGCATTTGTGGGGCAGAGGGTGGCACCACTGAGCTGAATCCCCAGCCCCTTCCCTTTTTCATTTTTTGTTTTGGTACCGGGGATTGAACTCGGGTCCTTGCGCTTGCAAGGCAGGCCACTGAACCGCTGAGCTAAATCCCCAGCCCGCTTCCCTTTTTCAGTAGTACAACTTTAAGAATAATTTTTGTGTTTATAGTAAATACTGGTTAGATGGTTTCGTTGATTTCTTTGTTCTTGTTAACATGCTTCATGAATAAATGAGGAACATTACTGTACCCGTTCCTACCCAGAGCTTTTGTCTTTTTCACCAAGAGGACAGAAAAATCCCAGGAACAAATTAATTGAAATGAAAGACTGAGAATGAGGAATATGAAATCAAAAGTTGCCCTCCATTTTTGCAGACTGCTGATCACAATCTTTCTTGAGTTTCAAATCTCAGACAAGTAACAAAAGAGGGAAATTTTTAAGTGTTGCTTATCTTCATAAAAATTGCCTGACAGATTAGGTAACACTGCCAGGAATCTGTGCTACCCACCATCTTGAGTTCTCTGGTGCAGGAGCAGAGAAAACACAGGACGCGTTTGTGATCTTGCCAGAGGCATCCAGCAGAGCATTGGCAAAACCTCTGTCTGTGAGGACTGTTGTCTGGCTGGGTTAAATATAACTGGAAGTTAATGTGCAAACCTGTGTATTCGGGAGATTATAGTGAAGGAATATAACACGAGTGTCACTAGTGTATCTTGTCCTGATACAGTCTTTTCATGAAACAATAATAATTTTGGAACCAAGAAAGGCATTATGTCAGAACAGTACTAACTTCACAAACCTGTGTCTGTATTTCAGCAAGTGGGAATATTCCAGTGTTACAGAAGGACAAGGACAACACCAACGTCAACGCAGATGTGCAGAAGTTACAGCAGCAGTTACAGGACATTAAGGAGCAGGTGACGGTTTTGTCGTGTTAGACAGATTCCCGGCGTGACAGTCTTTTCTCTGAAACTCGTGGTATTTTCTCTGGTAAACATGGGTTATAGTAGTGTCATTTGTAGTGTTTGAATATCTGCAAAGAGTAATAACATGACTAGGAGCCGGGGGTTTAGCCCAGCGGCAGTGGTCCTGCCTCGAAAGTGCAAGGTCCTGAGTTAGGATTGCCCATACCGAAAAAGAAAAAGTACACCTGGGGGATTTAATCAGGTATTTTCCCAAACAGGAAACACACATGACCAGCAGACATGAAAAGATGCTCAGCCACCTTAGAAGTGAAAATGACAGGGAGGAGGAGCCTTTGCAGACCAAGGCTGAGCGGATTGCTCGGGCCACGGGTGTCGGGCATAACGCAGGTGCGCGGCGAATGCAGCTGACGCTGCCGGAGGGAGCACGCTCTCCGGCAGCACGCGTTGGTAAAGCAGGCGTGGTAACCGGCTCGTCACTGTCTGATAATGAACTTGGGGAAATCACAGAGATGGTAGTTGATGCCCAAAGGCAGTGAGTGGGGTTTTTCAGGCTGGAGTCGGGGCACAGGGAACTTACACGAGTTTGGTCTGTTTCGGAACTTCTGTGGCTTGTGCACATGGGACGCTGTGGTCAGAAAGGGAAAGGGCATGTGTGGGTGTATAAAAGCAAGGGAAAGATGAACGCAGAACTGAGAATGGTGGTTATTAATGAGAGGTGGGTGGAAGGGATTGGGGAGGGCTTTTGGGGGGCTTAGAAATGAGGGTAGCATTCCATACTTTAAACTGGCTGTTGGCTGTATTCTTGTAGAATATATAACAGAGGTGCTCTTTTCTATCTGTTCAACATTAATCAGAGCAAGCCGGGTGTGGTGGCGCACGCCTGTAATCCCAGCCCTCAGGAGGCTGAGGCAGGAGGATCGCTGTGAGTTGTTTTGAGATCAACCTGGGCTACATAGTGAGTTCCAGGTCAGTCTCAACTACTCAGTGAGACCCTGTCTCAAAAAAACCAAAACAAACAAACAAAAAACAAAACATTAATCAGAGCAGCAGTGAGATAAACAGATTGATGAGAATTTGTAGCTGCAAGGCGAGCAAGAAAGCAGGTGTTTTCTGGACGTTACCCACGACCTGATCTGCCCCAGAGGCTGAGCAGTGAGGTGCCCCTCTGTGGCTTGGCCAAGGGTCAGTGTTGTCCCGCACTTGTCAGAGTCCGCACTCCTGAGTGTACTGTCTGCATTTCTAAGACAGTAACAAACATGGCCTGCAGATAGTGACTACTTTAGAACCGAATATATTTGTTTACTGGCATTTACACACCTATCTGAAAAGATGAAAGCCTTCTAATCGGGCCAGTTTTTATTTTGAAATCCAGCATGTAACAGTACTTACTATATAATGAATAAATAAAAATAAGGATTTAAAGGTTCTGTTTTGAGACGGTCTTGCTTTATAGTTCAGGCTGCCTTTGAACTCACTGTGTGGCCCAGTTGGGCCTTGAACTTGAGGTGATCCTCCTACCTCTGCCTCCTGAGTGCTGGGATTACAAGTGTGCACATAACAAGTACAAGTAACCATGCCTTTGGTACCGGGAATTGAACTCAGGACCTGTGCTTACAGGCAGGCATGGCACCACTGAGCTACATCCCTGGCCCCTAAAGGCTCTTAAGTAGATGGGAGCTTATTTGGCATATCTGATATAAAGTGAAACGTTGTTTAAAATCTTTTGTTCCTTTTCCATGTGAACACTTTCTGAAAGATGAAGCTGATTTTTTAACTTATCTGTGAAAAGCATTTTATCTTCTAATTGTGAATTCAGTGGGGGGCCACTGGGAATGGAATCCAGTACTTGACCCATGATAGGCAAAGCTCTTTAAATTGTTGTTACAGTGAATAATAAGACTTACTACCAAGCCCTATTATTGGTCCTGGAAGAATAATTCAGCTCTGCTTCTAGTCTAAGTTTATTTCTTAAAAACCTACATCCCTGAGGGGATACCCGATTTCAATTGGGTAAGATATGTTAAATGTGTATACCAATTCTCCAAATAAACCTCACTGTGATCTAATATTAGCGTACACCAATTAAATTAAAAATCACATTGTCATTAAGTGGTTGAAATAAAGCTCATTTCTGAGGAAGGGTGGGATTTCTTGCAGGGACCCCTTCAAGGTTCTTGAAACCAGAGAAAACATCTGAACACCTCTCTTCACTTAAATTTTGAATCTGTCCGTTACTTCTTTGTCTCTGACAACAAAACAATTTTACTTGCTATTAAGGACATATTAAAGTAACCAAAGATGTCACTTTTTATAGCTTTGCTTCTCAAAATTTAGAACAGGTAAACAAGACAGTTTGCCCTCAGGGGTGTGGCTGACAGTTTAAGACTCTGGTTTCTTTTTTTTACAGTAATCTCTTACATGGTCAAAGCTGGTAACTACATTATTATTTTGGCCTCAGGCATGGTTTATTAATCTAGGCATCCCTGTTTATTTCATTATTTGGGAAAGATGCTCAAAGTGAGGTATTAAGGTAAAATATGTTTTTATAAATGTAAGTACGTTTGGTGAATAAATGCAGCCGCCTGGAGTGTTTTCACACATGTGTGCCTTACATACTTCTGATGTTCCACGTTTATGAGATGTACACTTTTAACCTGTAACTCATGAGCCTGTGGGGTCAGCATGCCCAGGAGAAGAGCTCTGGGGCCACAGACCCCACGCTGACCTTCCTTCCGGCAGGCCGTGCTGGGGCTGTAAACCCCTCTGAGCCCCAGTGTGCTGTGTTATACAGTGGCAGCGATGCAGACCCAGATGCACAGTGTCTACCTCGTGCCTGGCAGGTGCTTGCTATGTGCGCTGTCTCCACCTGGGTTTGCCAGATTCTTGGGGCTCTGCTCATGAAGCAGTGGCCAGAGCCTGCGGACAGAGGGCGCCATTTCCATCCATTTCCTCCCTGCTTAGGTCTTGTGTTTTACAAGGGATTTATTTTATGCAGTACCTTTTGTACTACCGTGAAAGAGCAAACTGTTTATTTTATAGCGATGGTATTTGTACTATTGAAAAAATTTAAAACTATTTTTAAAAAGCAACAAAATATTTGGCTAAAAGAACAAAAACTCAACGATGTACATTGTCATGTATTACGTTTTAAAAATATCAAATGTCTCGGCATTTACCGCTTCCTCATCTCCGTTACAGACCATGTGTCCCGTGTGTTTGGATCGTCTGAAGAACATGATCTTCCTCTGTGGCCATGGCACGTGCCAGCTCTGCGGAGACCGCATGAGTGAATGTCCCATTTGTCGCAAGGCCATTGAACGGAGGATTCTTTTGTACTAAGAAAGTTTTGTTAGCTAAAGTATGTGGTTATGAATCTTAGCTTTTAAGCAAGTTGGAGTTCTAATGAATTAATTTCTAATGTCATAGTTCATTTTTCTAGAGTGTAATTAGATTGTAAATGTACCAGAACAAAAGATCTTTACAAAAAGTATTTGAAATAGAAATCTTTTGTTTGTTTGTTTGTTTGGAGGGAGGGAGGGAAGGAGGGGTATATTTTTCTTTTAAATTTGGAACATCTTGTAATTTTGGTTTTAAAAGGGAAATCCTTCGAGGTGATCCTTTTATTTGTGTTTTTATTGTTTTCTCCTACAGATTAGAAATTCATTAGACCTCAAAAGACATAATTCCATACGATCCGTTATGATTTTGCACAGTGAAGTGTCATGGGTACCTTGAAAAGTTATGCATCACACAAGAGGGGCAAGTCACACTGCTGTGTCCATGTGTTAAATGACAAATTACAGTAGATTATGTGTGCTGAAGGGAGTATTGAAGGGACGTTTCTATTTTTAAGAAAACAAGTTAAATGTTTTTGAATTCTTAAGAGTAACGCAAGCATAGACTAAGAAAATACTAACTTTGTATTTAGCTTATTTTCTAGGTTTTTTTAAAAAAAAAAAACTAACAAGTCAAATTACCAGTTTCAGGGTCGGGGATTTAGCTCAGTGGTTCCACCGCCTGCCTCGCAAGCACAAGAACCTGAGTTCAATCCCCAGTACCAAAAAAAAGAAAAGAAAGAAACAAATTACCAGTTTCAAAATGACAGAGTGATACGAAGAGGACAAACTGAGCAACCACAGTGGAGAACTAAAAATCAGTGGAGAAAAAAATGAAATAACTATTAACCACTAACAGTCACATCTGATACTAGTTTAAACCCTGCTTGATTCAGTCACCCTTTAAAGGAGAAATCTGAGAAAAGCATGCTTGGGTTTTCCGGGCGATGACTCCCCAGCTCCAGCCTCGCGGTGCAGTGACCCTGCCTCCCGCCTCGGGTTCGCTCCCCTGCAGTGTCCGGAGCTTTCCTGCACTCTCAGACCGCAGCTCTTACTGGAAAGAGAGGCCTCTGCCTGAAGATGAAGATATTATTTAAACTGCCAGTAGTATCCAAGTATGGGTTGTAAACAACCTCATAGTGGGTAGCTGTTTAGAAAGCGTGCCAAGGCCTTATAGAAAGATGTCTGATTACCTTTAGACTGTTTTTTTTCCCCCTGGTGGAGGGCAACCTTTGACTTTGGAGCATTTAATCATTTTCTCCTCTTTGACTCTTTTTGCGACGAGGGTTAAAGATATACCTAACTACTAGGAGTTTTTGAGTTTTTTGCTGCTAGATTATGTATATATATGAGCTGTTTATAATGGTGTATACATACTATGTATACATACTATGTATACATAGTATGTATACTCTCACTCCTACCTAGAATGGATCTCTGTTTTACAGCCCCCCCTTTAAATCTGGCTGGCTTTTCTCATTTCAGTTTTGCTGCTTTGATAACTATGAAAACACAATGTGTCACTGGGCATGGTGACGAACTCCAGTAATCCCAGCACTTGGGAGGCTGAGGCGGGAGGATCATTGTGAGTTTGAGGCCATCCTGGGCTACATAGTGAGTTGAGGCCAACCTGAACTACATAGCAAGACCCTGTCTCAGAAAAAAAAAAAAAAAAAAAATACATAGATGTATATATCTCTCTATATATCTCTGTCTGTATATGGTATATCATGTCTAATCAGAGCACTGTTTCTGGCTACTTCAGTGCTTCTGCCTTGGCCAGTGCTGGTGACATCAGTGGTGAGCTTTGGTGGCTGCTTTTATAGTCCCCGCAATTCCCTGTATGTTTAGCTGAGAAATTATTACCGTTCGGGGCAGCAGAGTTTTCATACATTGCAAATGTGAAGCTTTACTTTGACTCTTCGGTTATCTTAGAGGCTTCTGAGGCAATTTTTAAGGTATATTTTGAAGTTACAGAAAGATCGGATTGATAACGTCACGTAAAGAGACGTTTCTAAAGACGGTGAGACTTGGGGTTTCTCCCTGTGTGCCATAGCTCACCCACCCCACCCGGAAAAGGGGGCGCGCTGTACTTCACTTCAGTCCTTGTCTTCTGTCTTCTGAGTTGCAGTGCTAAAACTTACGTTCCCAAAAGGCAATAATGTCTTCCAGACTAATTCCCCGTATTAAAGATAGAGCTTCTGTTGTAGAAGTCACAAAGTCACTAAAATTGTAGTGCTAAGTACTTGTGGATTTTCTCTATTTGTATCACTTTGAAATTTGTTTTATGAATAGAGAATTTTTCTCTAGTCATGTTTTCAAGCACCTAAAATTATTTTAAGTTTATTTTGAGTTTGCAAGAAGGAATAAAATGCTCCCTCTTTTTACACATCTGTCAGCAGCGCTCTGCTGATCAGGTGTTTCCCCTTGTTGTGTAAAGCTCTATCTTGTGCCTCTAGAGTTTTTACCTTTCCTAGAGTCGTTTTTAAAATGACATGGGCGCATTTTTAAAAAATGTATTGATTGAGCTTCAGGGGCTAGTACCTGACTTTGGAGGAAAAAGAAGAATCCGCACACTCGGAGTGCTCGGTGTGGCGGTTGCGTATTGGAAGCCCCTGGGACAGAGCGGGAGGGGTCCAGAGGCACCCGCAGCGTTTCCCCCCGTCGGCACGGATGCCAGCCGCCCCGCTCCTCCCCTGCCACCTTCTCGCCTTTATTCTTCTGAGCCTTGGTGCGGTTGCCCGACACGCGACGCCCCACGGTGCTCCCTGCTGGTGGTGTTCGCACACTTTCACGCTCTTACCCTGCACACCTATTTAATGTTGCTGGGAGCAAGATTTTCCAGAGAAGCACATTTTGTGAGTGTGGGAACACTGTATTGGACAGTGTTTAGTTGTGCTGGCCAGATCATGAGTCATTAAGCACTGCAGATGAACCAGCCAGCTCCTGAGGCATAAAATTAATCGACAGACAGGTGGGAAGTAACTTTCTGAAGCTTGTGTTTCGGATGGCTTCACTTACGCGAGCGTTCGGCGCACAAGGGCGCGCTGCTTACGACTTGTCAGCTCAGGTCGCGAAGCTTGCTGGGTCACGTTGACCACCGGACTCTGCCGCCTGGCCGTGTGTGGCCCGGTTGCTACTTTTTGCTTCTGAATTCTGGATGCTTTTTAGACTCGGAATGAGGTTTCTGAACGAAGACACTTAGAGCTGGGGCAGGCTCAGGGCAGGACACTGATGCGGCAGCAAGTAGGAAACAGAAAAGTCAGTGTTACGCGTGGACGGGAGAAAAGCGGGTGGCGTGGCGCCCTCAGAGCGTTGGTGGAGAGGCTCTGTGTGACCAGTCGGTCTCGAGTGTGGGCTAATGGCTGTTCTGTGAGTTACAGACTTCACTGCAGCTTGTTCCTTTCTAATCCAAAAGGAAAAGCACGTATCCTCTCAGAGTGTCTAAGGTGTTTTATAGTAATTTGTGTGAAAATTGAATTTTGGAATACATGTTTTTGCGTTTTTGTAGTGTGGTAAAAAGCAACTCTTTCTGAGTACACAGTTTAGCAGTGTTACGTACATTCACATTGTTGTGAAACATCTGTAGAACTTTATCTTGAAAACAGAAACAATGTACCTATTAAATAATTCCTTTCCCCCGTGTCCCCTCCAGTAGAATAGAATTTTAACCATTTGTAAATGAAATACCTGAATTATTCAGTAGTTTTTGTTTGCAAGACCTCAAGTCACAGTAAACGCCGCATTCCCAAGATGTGTGGGACAGCATCTCTCTCCCTTTGCTGCGGTTGTTATTAATGATAACTGGATAGGCTTTAAGTGTCTGTTAATTGGAAGCGTTTATTTCAACTTAAGCCAAGGGAGAGAAACACATTTTAAATAGCAGAATTAAGTTAACTTTGAATTTATTCTAAACTGGGAAGATAATAGGTTTTCACAGATGACGTGTGCCTTGTCGGACGGATGTCACTTGTCTTTCAGTCTGCTTCGCAAAGTTTCCGAAACGAACAGCTCACTCGCTTGAATATTATGATAGGAATGCTGACTGGTATTACTGGATGATAGATACAGATATATATATATTCTTGGAACTTTAACATATATATAATGGTAGCAGTATTAACAGTGAGCCGCACTTCTTTACAATATTAAATCGAGGAAACTGTAATGCTGTCTCCTGTGTGTGTTGCTTTGCCCCGGTGAGGGGAGCGGTGTAGGCCGAGATCCCCGTCCCGGTTCGCACCTGGGTGGTAGCGGGTGCGACTGCACCGTAACCGTCCGGGCAGACAGTGGAGCTCACGCAGTACATTGTGAGTTGCTACATTGGCATTTTCTACCTCCTTTTCTGTCAGAGTATTACTCTTTCCAGCATTTATTTTTATTTGTGAATAAAGAGGAAATGAGAACCTGAGGTTAAAATTGAAAGTGTTTTGTTAAAAATCAAAGCAGTAGATAAAGAGAAGTGATTTGTCGTGTTCATTTGGTGCCTGAACCGATAGCTAGAAGTCGTAATTGACATGTACAAAACGTCCAAGAAAGGCAGGATTGCTGAGTATCTTACTTTTCCCGTATAGTCCTCTTGATTTTTTTTCATTTTGTTTCCTCCGAAAAGCAAAATGGCCTTGTAATTTTTAATAAAATAAACATGCCATTTTGTCCGAGATAACATAATTTCAGGAAGCTATTGAAAGTTCTGACTCAGGGCTTTTTAACAGTTTAAGCAATTGCTAATTATATTTTAGAAATTCCATCTGCCTAACTCTTCAGTGCCTTGAAAGAATCATCAGCTGGGCAGCACCGTGAAAGCCTCAGTCTCTGGTGCCTGCGGGTCCCTGCCTAGGTCACACTGATAGCTTCTGTGACAGTGGCCCACACTGTGTTGGTTCTGTAATTCTTTAAAGGAAGACTTTTAGATTTGCACTTGATTTTTGTGTTTTTTGTTTTTTTAAAAACTGTTGACTTCTGGCCATGATGTAGTTACCAGAAAAGTGATTCTTTTTCAACTCACGATGCAGAGCTGTCAACAGGAGTCTCTGGAAGAAGAGAGCGAACTTACAGGGGTGATCAGCTTGGGAAACACTGGCTCCCCTCAGATGGAAACACAGCGGAAGTCTTTGTTCAAGGGATTCACTTGAGTGTACGTGCTGCCGAAGCAAGCACTCAAGGGATTCACTTTAAAAAGAATGTTTGAAAAGGAAATTATGAATTGCGTGTCATTCTTAATGCTGGTCTTAAGAGACTAAATCTATGAAATTGTCTTCAACTTTTGTATGCTTGTGTCGTTCTGAATGCAGTACACTCAGTGATTGAAGGCAGTTTAATGGACTCAGTGTTTTGCCTTGCACGTTTTCCATTTTTTTAGCTTTCAGTGTTGGATTAATTTGAAGTGGATTAATTATTTGTGGATATAGTTTCTGCATGGCACACAATTATTAGCTTTTGTTTAAATATGCTTAGAGCTAAGCTTTCAAAACCAGTTGGGAGGGCCGGGGATTTAGCCCAGTGGTTCCAGCACCTGCCTTGAAAGCGAAAGGGCCCAAGTTCGATTTCCGGTACCACCAAAAAAACCACAAACAAACAAACAAAAAACGATGGGAGAAAAAATAAATAAAAACAGATGGAAACATTTACCAGTAATAAAACCCATGGTATATCAGAGTGCTTTTCTCTGATCTTTTGAAAACTATTCTTTGTAGTACTGTACATGAATTTTTATTTTTGAGGCATTTGAAACCAAGTCTCAATACATCAAAAATAAATTATTATTGTTGGAAAGGAAATTCCAGTGTCTGAGAAGCAAGGACATCTGTGTCCAGGTCAGTAGGAGGAGCAGCATCCCCAGCTGTGTGTCCCACTGCGCTGGTTTACGGCCTGGTACCTCCGTCTAAGGACCAAAGAAGTTTTTTGTATCTCAACACCTCCACCCTCTTCAGGCTTACGATGTATTATGAAAATGGTCTGAGTAGAATACACTTGATAAAAAGTAAATCAGATAGGAAGATCCAACTTCTTATTTTTTTGAAAAGAAAACTTACTCCTCTTCACACCTTAGGTAATAGGCGTTAAAGCATTGGTTTATTTGCCTTTTTAAAGAAATCATATTAGTCATTGAATGGCTTGGGGGCTGTTTTATTTTTCAAGTTAATAGAAGCACTTATTTGTGAAGTTGTCAAGAGGTTGTCGGGTTCTGGTTCAAAAGATGTATCTGGATGTTTAGAGAAGAAAAATCTTTGAGAAAAGGATATGTATTCCAACTTTAAAATTTGTAGATTTATTTTGGATAACCTCTAACTGTACTTTTTGTTTATTTTGCTGTATAATTAGATATCTGGTGGTAATATTTTTATCAAGTTGAAACTGTATAGGTTTTTAAAATAAAGACATTTTCGAAAACCTGCTCTGTACTTTCTGTGGTGACAGAAGGGTGGAGGGCGGGCCGGGGCGGGGACATCGTCCGGCTGGTTCTGCCCTCCCGAAACTAACTGAGGAGGTCTTCGGTGGGTTTGTTTTTGCTTTTTTTTTGGTACTGGGGATCGAAAGGGTCCTTGCGCTTGTGAGGCGTGGGAGGCAGGCAGGGGAACCCACTGAGCTATATCCTAGGGCCAGGGATTTAGCTCAGCGGTGCCGCCGCCGGATCCCCGGTATAAATAAGAAAAGAAGGGAAGGTTTTTTCTTGTATTGAAGTCCCAAAGTTAGAGGCATAAAGGAAACTAAGGCCTGAGCCCAGCCGAGCGGCCCGAGCGAGCGGCGCTTGCGGTCGAGTCCCCTCCTCACGACCCCAACCCCGCGGAGGCGCCGCCCGGCCTTGAACACCCGAAGGAGGATGCGGATCGGATCGGATCGGATCGGATCGGATCTCAGCCCAGATCTCAGCCCAGCGCCCGGGAGGAGCCCCTGGGGCGGGCGGG